ATCAGTAAAGAGAACAGTAAAATGGGGCTGGAGACAGGGTAGGGGGTAGTTTAGTCAGGGCCTCTAGGTCATAGAAAGGCTTTTGGATTACATCTGAATTACAATGGAAAACTATTAAAGGGTAAAAGCAGGGGAGGGCCTTGATTCACCTTTTATTTTAGAAAAGCTCTCTAGGGCACCTGGGTGGGTCAGTCGGTTAAGCATCTGCTTTCTGCTCAGGTCATGATCCCAGGATCCTGGGATGGAGCCCCACATTGAGCTCCTTGCTCAATGGGGAGTCTGCTTTACCCTCTGCCCCTCCACCACCACTCGTGCACTTGCATGCATGTGCTCGCTCTCTCTCAAAAATAAATAAATAGAACTTTTTTGGTTTTGTTTTGTTTTGGTAAAGAAAAAAAAAAAAAGAAAGAAAGAAAAGCTCTCTAGTGCGATGTAGTGAGTGAATTTGGTCAGGAACCCAGGAGCCCAGTCAGGAAGCTGTTGAGGAGTCTAGACCAGGGTAACCTGAACTAGGATTATAGGATTACAGCAGAGCAATGGAGGGCGGTGGATGGATTTGAGATGGGTTTGGGGTAACACTGGTATGATTTGCTGACTGGATGTGGGAGATGGTGAAGAGGAAGACAGAAACATCAATGTGATGCTTGAGTTCCTGGTTTGAGCATTTCCATGGGTGCTAATTGAGACTGGGAAGAGCATGACAGGAGTTAGTTGTGGTTGGGAATCAGGCATTTAATTTGGACATAATAAGTTACAGGTGTCTGTGCAACGTCTAAGAGGGACTTTGGAATAGGCAGCTGGCTACACAGTCTAATATTCAGAGAAGATTGGACTGGGCATACAAATTTCAGGATTATCCGACATACCATTTAAAGCAAAGAGAATGGTGAGATTACCTAAGGAGCCGTTCCTTGTAAAGAGTTGGGCAAGGAGGCAAGGAACTCTCACAGATCCCAGGATTAAGAAATCAGGTAGAAACAAGATTTGAGAAGGGATTTAGAAGGAAATCCCAGGGACACCTGGGAGGCTCAGTGGGTTAAAGCCTCTGCCTTCGACTCAGGTCATGATCCCAGGGTCCTGGGAACAAGCCCTGCATTGGGCTCTCTGCTCATCTGGGAGCCTGCTTCCGTTCCTCTCTCACTGTCTGCCTCTCTGCCTACTTGTGATCTTTGTCTGTCAAATAAATAAATAAATAAATAAATGAATGAATGAATGAATGAATGAATGAAAATCCCAGAGAGCGTGAGCACAGGAAGTCCAGTGAGAGTGAGGATTTCAAGAAGTAGGGAGTGGTCAGCTATTGGAAATACCACCAAAAGTTGAATTAGATGGGGAGAGAAAAGGTTTCCTCTTTCAAGTTCTTGCTGAACTTGGTGAGATTCTTTTCAATGGAGGGTAGAATAACTAGGACATTTAGTCAACTCTCCATAACATCTTCTTCAAACATTTTGCATAAATGAGATTGAAGCTAAGTGCTATCAATCTCTAAGTGGCTCAAGGTACCAGTTAGGAGACCTCAAGGTTGAGTTGATATGCTTATGGTTGTATAGCTCTCTGGAGCTTTGTTGTTATAACAGGGACCAAAGCTTCAATGAACATAAAGTTCTAGGATGCTTTGGCACTTCTTCATTGTCCAAATATCAGTGTCAACCTCAGGCTGAGGAGATGACTATAACTAAATTTTTACGTATTATTATTTGTGAATATGTAGAGCAGACAATTATAATAGGTAATTTTTATGAATACTTAATATGTTCAAAGGACATTTACTATACTTTTCCCAAGTGTTATATAATTTTCGCTAGTGTTATTATCAGTTTTCAGGTAAATAAATGAAGGCTTAGTGAAATTACATAACTCGTTCCTAAGTTCCTAAGTGACAAAGTCCAGACATGAAATTGTGATTTCAACCACTATACTACACTGCTAACTCATCAATTTTTAATAAGAGTTGCTTCAGAGAAATGTCTCTTCAGGTCCTCTGCCCATTTTTTAACTCCATTTTTTGTTTTCTTGGTGTTGAGCTGTTTGTGTTCTTTATATATTTTGGATATTAACTCCTTATCAGATATATCATTTCAAATTTTCTCCCATTCTGTAGGTTGCCTTTTTGTTTTGTTGACGGTTTCCTCTACTGTGTGAAAATTTTGTTGACAGTTTTCATTTGTGTTCAAGAGAGCCTTGCCTGCAAATTTCCTTTCCTATAATATCATTGTCAAAAAAATACCATTGTCGAGTATAGTATGGTAATTTTGCTGACTTAATTATTTACCCTCTTTACCAATTCTCTGAATTTTTTTTTGAAAGTTCAGGGATAATTACTGCTTAAATATCTAGTAAAATTTTCTGATTTAATCCACTTGTACCTTAAGATTATTTGTATGGTAATTTTTCATTGAATATTTAATGATTATAGTAGTGTAAAACTTACTCTTTTTTTCTTGTCTAGGTTTTAGTAATTGAAATCCTGTTAAGTAACAAAAATTTCTAGAAGATAAAAAATTGCTGCTTAAAACTATGAACAAAGTATCTCTTCAATAATTAGATTAATATTTGTGAGTTCATTTATTTGAAATAAAATTAATTACCTTAATAGTTACTAACTGTTGAAATAATAGGATAAGTTTATAAGTCATATGAGGATTAGGACTATATCTAGATGAAAGAGTTCAAAAGAAATAAGACATAAAACCAGATGTTTGATATTTAGAACCACACATACGATTTTAGTATTGCAGTTGCTACTTCCAGCTATTCATCCAGAAATATCTAAAATCTTAAATTAATTTTAAAATGCTGATCTTAGGGTATTTGGCACATGCAGAATACCAAAGATGATGGCTTTAGTTTTTTTTTTCTAGAGTGTGTACTGACAACATTTAGACATTGGTGTGATGGATTCTTTTATATTTGACTCTTGAGTAAACTTTGAATGATGGCAAATAAATGATTTCATATTATTTGCATATTTAGAAGTCTTAGAATAGCTATTCTAATAATACTGCAATTGTTAAATACACTGTAGGAGCCATTATATTTTTATTTGCAATTTATTTCCATGTTAGTTATTTCACTATAAAAATTAATTTAAATAATATTTAAGTTTTCCATTATAGGGATTCCATTTACTAAACCTTTTATTGTAATACCTATAAAGTAGTAGTCTATATTTAGAAAGGCAAATGATTATGGAGGGTAACACATTTATGTTAAATATGATGCCAGTGGTGGGCTCCGTTGAGATAGGCATGGCATTTTATCCATTTTCTCTTTGAACAGAAGGAAGGATTGCTTTTCACGTGTCTATTAATCCCCCTAGTAGCAGTGATTATTCAACCCAGTAACAACATAGTTAAGTTTATAGAAAATATAGTATCAGTTAAGACAAAATATGCAACACTAATATTTAGTAGAGAAAATAGAATTGTGAATAATAAGATTATATTTTAAAAATATAAATCATTGCATATGACACCAAAAGAACAGGTGAGAAGATAAATAGGTAAATTGGATGACATAAAAATTTGCTTTGCAGCAAAGGATACAATCAAGAGAGTGAAGAGGTAACGGGCAACATGGAAGAAAATATTGGCACATCATGTCTGAAAAGGGGCAAATGTCCAGAATATGTAAAGAACTCCTACAGTTCAACAGAAAACCAGATTTTAAAAAAGGGGAAAGGATTCAAATAGATATTTCTCCCAATAAGATAATGCAAATGGTGGGGCACCTGGGTGGCTCAGTCCTGCTTTGCGGGGAGACTGGTTCTCCCTCTTCCACTCCCTCTGCTTGTATTCCCTTTCTCACTGTGTCTCTCTCTGTCAAATAAATAAAATCTTTTTTTTAAAAAACATACACAAATGGCAATAAACATAAATAGGAAAAGATGTTCCACTTCACTAATCCTTAGGGAAATAAAAATCAAAAACACAATGAGATACCATCTTATACCCACTAGAATGGTTGTTATTAAAAATACTACTACTAGTAGTAATAATGTTGATAATAATGTTGATGAGGATTTGGAGAATTTGGAACTGTCGAGCATTGTTGGTGGGAATATAAAATGGTGCAGCTGCTATGGCAAACAGTATGTTGGTTCCTCAAAAAATTAAAAATAGAATTTTCATTTGATCCAGCAATTCCATTTTTGGGTATGTACCCAAAAGAATTAAAGACACGGACTTGAACAGGTATTTGTTCATTCATGTTTATAGCAGTATTATTCACAATAATGTCAAAAATGTCGAAAGCAACCCAAGTGTCCATCAACAGATGAATGGGTGAACAAAACATAGTATATACATATACTGCAATATTATTCAGCTTTAAAAAGGAAGGAAATTCTGACACATGCTACCACATGGATGAACCTTAGGGACAGTATGCTCAGTGAAAGAAAGTAACAAAAGGATAAAAATGGTATGATTCCACTCATATGAGGTACCTAGAGTAACCAAATTCGTAGAGACAGGAAGTAAAGTGGTGGTTGCCAGGGGCCGGAGGAAGGAGAAATGGGAAATTAGTGTTTCATAGTTATAGAGTCTCAGTTTTGCAAGATGAGAAGTTATGGATGGTGGTGGTGATCACACAATAATATGAAGGAACTTAATGCCACTTAAGAAGATCATAGATTTTATATTAGGTATGTTTTACCAGGATTTAGAAATATATGTACACACACTCAAGTCATTTTAAGTGGTATAGCTTTTAAAAACACACTTAAAGAATAGAGAAGAGAAAATTTAAGGTAGAAGAAGCTTTGTGGACATTGATAATTAGGACCTAATCAAAAAATATTTTTTGGAGCTTTTTCATACATATTAAGACCTATATTGTGTTATTATGTATCATCACATCTATAACCATATATCTAATTATATAATTAAATATATTGCAAAAATCTATTGTGTGCTTTTTGGTGATGAGGGTTTTCTAGAGATCATGATGAGAGGAGCTATATACAAGAAGCTCAGTTCCAATATTTTGTTTTGTTGCAGATCTGTGGCCACTGGTTCACATGGTTTCGAGGCACAATGAAGCATGCTGGCTCTTGGAAAATTTGGCTCTGGGTGGTAATGCTTCTGCTTCCTGCTTCCATTTCCGTGACGGTCAGGGAGAAGTCAGGTATCCAGGTCACCTCTTTTGTCCAGTCACCAAATGTTATTTATAGCCTGTCCGTTATTTTTAAAATCATTAAAATACATTGTTGGGGGTGAGGAGGCCATAGATTAAATCTACTAGTACAAAATAAAGAATTCATTATTTTTCCCCATTGACCTTTTATGTTGCACATTGAGAATTTCTAAAACTGCCTCATTTTCCCATATGCATATTAGGCTAAATAGACTTTCTTTTCTCTCATTGATGTTTACAAATATAAATGTATGTGCATGCTTCTCTGTGTGTATTTTTCTCCTTTTCCCCTTTGTTATAAGTTATTCAAATTAGAAATACATAAGTCTATCACTAATAAGGTTTAACCAGGAACATGCCTAATCTTAATTAGGGAAAAGGGAAAAACAGAATAGGAGATATAAAAAGAAACGTAGTTTAATTTTATGTAAGTTTCATAGTATCTCAGATGAAATGAACAAAAGATTAACAGTCATTAGAGCACGTTTTGAACTAAATAGATATTTATTTGCAGTTGTTAAATTATGAACTTCACGAATGTTTCTAAATGGCTTGAAGGCAGTTTAAAACATTTACTCTCACCTCTGATTTTTAAAAATGATTATGTGGCTAATTTGGAAAACCTTTCTTGAACTCTGAGTTGTAAATTACTGATCTAGATGTACTTGTAAGTCAAACTAGACCCATTGGAGAAGCCATTTGCTAAGCAAAGAGAGACTTCAACTCTCCTATGCAAAGGATCACATAAGATGAATTCTGACGATGGTCACATATGATGATGTATTCTGAAACTGAGTCTTACTGTGTTTACTCTTTTGAATATACCTTTAATACATTTTGCTAAACAGGTATAAACACAGCCTGGTAGAGACTTTTGAGTTTGAAGCACATATAGAATCAAAACAGTCTCTTATAAAGATATAACAAGTCTTAGTCTCTCCGCGTTATGTAAGTCTTTATGACTTTTGTTTTAATTTGGCAGGAGGTGCATTTCCTAATAATCTGCATGAAAGTTTGAATATTCTACCACTGTATCAATGATATCCTGAGGCTGTCATATTTTGGGGGGGGAGAACATTTTCCTTCTTCAGTGAGAAATACATCAGAAGTGACTCAGACAAAAGGAAGTCCATAGGACAAGGAGGGTTCGTTCTGATAATGTTGCTACTTTTAATTTCTTTATGTCTCTTCCTTTTAAGAACACTAGTAGGTAATGCGATTTGCAACTGAAACAGAGGGGATAGGACTTCTTTGGTTAGAAAGGAAAATGAATCTCTGGTTGAGCAGGACATAGTTTTTAGGGACATACTAGTACATAATAAATGTTCTTCCTAATGATTTGAAGGATCTATAATAAATGTATTTATAATTTTAGTTAGAGCAAAAATCATCTGGGGTATTGATTTCTAAATCTCACTCTGAGGCTGCCATTATGCAGGACTGGCTGGGGTGGGATTCAGCAATTTACATTTTTAACAAGCTTCCCAGGTGAATCTAATGCAATGTATCTGACTTGGAATATTAATTGACATTTTTTTTCTTCTTTTTTTCCTTTTCTTTGTCTTGCATTTATGCTACCATATTCCCTTTATTTCATTTCATTTTCTTTTCTTTTCTTTTTTGTTATTTTTGGCTCTAGTAATTCTTTCTTAAAAAGTTGTGGTAGGAGCACTTAACACTTAAGAAATATCTAAGTGTGTAACTCAGTATTGTTGACTATAGGCTCAATGTTGCACAGCAGATACCCAGAACTTAATCATCTTGTGTGACTGAAACTTCCCCATTTGGGGATTCCCCAGAATGTTCTGCTTTTTCAGCTTTGGTATCTCAACTCTTTAATCAGGTTATACTGTATATAGGACTCCTGAAATACATATATTCTGGTCCAATTAACTGTACCAAATTGATCTTTCTGAAAGATTTTCCTAAGAAGTATGAATTCAGAGTTAATCTGAACTCTAACAAGATTCACATAACATGAAGCACTGAGGGAAATTAATATAGACAAAAATGAAACATTGATTTTTACCAGGCCTTTTGAGAGAATGTGTTCCTGAAGCAACACATCCTGAACGTGCCATGGAAATTGCTTAACTTCAGGTATCATTTGCATTAATTGAAAATGTCAGCACAGCACTGTCACGGGGATTATTGAAGAATATGACACGCTGGGCATGGCCTGACAGGGGGCTCTCATTGTGTCTTGTGTCTCTGATTCACAAGTGCAAAATTCCCTTTTTAGTTTCCTCATGTGCAGACCTGCGCGTGTGGTCACTAACCATTTACCGGAGGGAAGTGATTACATCTAAAAATAAGATATAACAAATCTGAGGGAGAGGCTAGGGTTTCAACTCTGGAGTCTGTGAAGTTGTCAGCAGTCTACTGTTAAACCTAAATATACGAAGGATAAATTGAGCCCTTTAATTGCTTTATTTTAGCTCTATGGAATGCTTAATTATACTTGGGATATTGTTTCAGTTGGGGCAGAATTTAAGAGTAATATGGAAAGATTCAATACGCCTTGAATTTTAAAATCTTGAAGCTATTAAGAATTCAGTTATTTCTTAATCTTATCAGTTTTACTATTGAGATTTGAGTTAAGGCATATTTATACATTTTCATATTGTAGGTAAACAATTTGAATGTGGCAGTTTCAGCTCAGTTATCAAAAGAGGGTGGGGAAGAGAATTAAAAATATACATTATGTAGATCTTAAAACTTGTTTTATTCAGTTTCTTAAAACTTTCCGCTATGATAGAAGTTTATATATAGAAAAATTAAAGGTTCTTTTTGTTCTACTTTCCTAAATCTGGTCTATGGCCAAAGTACTGAGTTACCATCAAAAGTAATAAAAACGGAAAACCAGGGTAAGGAAAAGCAGCAAATCCATCTCCCAACCCAGGGGCTCCTGGGTGGCTGAGTTGGTTAAACTCTGTGACTCTTTGATTTCGCTCAGGGCACAATCTTAGGGTTGTGAGATGGAGTCCCTCCTTGGGCTCTGTGCTGGGTGTGGAGCTTGCTTGAAGATCTCTCCCCCTCCCCCATCTAAAAAACAAAAAAGAAAAACCCAAACCAAAACAAAAAGCCAGACTTGGTAAAAGAATAGATGATAGAATGCCATTTCTTTTTCTTATGGTAAAACATCAGGTTAGAAAACATCTTTTTCTTATGGTAAAACATCTAGATGGAATTGATTATAAACTTAGGCCCTAGACCATGAGCATATACATTGTAAAATTAGTTTTTTGTAAATTACAAGGAAAAACTGTTGTTCTGAAATTTGGCTTTAATTAATTGACACACACCACACTCTTAAACTCAGCGTAGAAAGTATGCTATTATATAGAACTTTTATTTTGTGTTTTTAAGAATTCCTCATGTTCAATATGGTACCATGTAACTGGCAAATACACTTTGTTACTCCTAAATTTTTAAAGTGGAGGAAAGTTTCCCAATTATTTAAAAAAAATTATAGCTCCTAACAGGTATTCTTTGGAGGAACAGCTTTGTATTAAAACAATAACAACAACAACAAAAACAACAAGCTCACGAGAAGCTGTGAAGATTTTGTGACCTTTTGTGACTTTTTTGTTAAAATAGCTGTGTTCTCACTTCTTTTTTACCTTGTTTGGTCACTTTTCCATATTATTTTTATTATATTTTGGTCTGATGATCTTTACCTATATTTTTTAACCAGTGTTTTTCTCCTCACCCAGGATACTCTATAATCTTTTATCAGAGGTGTTATCCAAGTATGAAATATATGGGAGGTCTTTGGGCAACCAGTAACAATAAAATAAAAAGGCCTGCTTCCTCCTCAGCCCAACAGAGTCTGTTTTAGCTTTTAAAAAAAAAAAAAATGTGAAACACCTAAAGCTTCTTCTTTGCTCTGTTAGTGAAAAGAAAACAAACCAGTTCTGCATGTGTGGTAAATTACTACTCTTCACCTTCCCAACTCTAATCATGAAGCAAAGGTTATGTTATCGGTTTTGTCACTACAATAAGGAAAACAATTTTCCTCAATGTCTGTTAGAAAAGAAGAGTGATGGGGGTGCCTAGGTGGCTCATTTGGTTAAGCATCCGACTCTTGGTCTCATCTCAGGTCTTGATCTCACAGTCATGGGTTCGAGTCATGGTGCTGTCAGTTTTTTTTTTAGTCATTTAGCAGTATCTCATTGTGGCTCAGAACTTGCATTTTCCTGATTATTAATGATGTTGAGCACCTTTTCTTGTGCAGGTCGCCAATTTGGATCTTGACTTTTGTGAAGTGCTTAAATTTTTGTGCATTTTCAAAATAGAATTTTCAAGATTACTCTTAGTGATTTGTGAGAGTTCTTTGTATATTCTGGATATGATACATGATCAGATATATGTATTACAATAGTCTGTATTGTATGATACAATCTATGTCTCTATGGTTCTATAAGATCTAGGGCTCCTTTTCACTCTTTTAATGTTGTCCTTTGATTTATAAGTATTTTAATTTTAATGAAGTCCAGTTTATCAGTCTTTTGTAATCTGTGCTTTCTGTATCCCTTTAAGAAACCTTTCCTTCCTCAGGTTCATGAACATCCTCTGTTTTTCTGTAGTCCTTTATTGTTTTACCTTTCTTAGTTAGGTCTGATATCATCACTAATTTATTTCTCTGCATGGTGTGAGGTAATAGTCAAAGTTCAGTGTTTTCCTATGTGGAGATGCAGTTCACCCAGAAACATTTACTGGAAAGAACATCCTTTTCCTACTGAATTACAATGGCTCCTTTTTGGCAAAGAAAAGAACCAACATGTACACAGGTCTGTTTTTGGACTCTTTACGCTGTTCCACTGACCTCTTTAGATGTACACCAATCCCACGTTATAAACATTTCTGGTATCTGATAGTTTAAGTTCTCCAGCTTGTTCTTAATTTTTGCCTCAACTCTTCCTAGTTTTCTTGGAGTTCCATATAAATTTGAGAATCAGCTTGTCAGTTTCTCTCTCTCACACATAGACACACACCATATGCCCCCCTGTTGGGATTTTTAATTGGGATCGTACTGAATCTAGAGATAAAAGTGAGAATTGACATCTTAAGTCAATTGAGTTTTCCAGTGTAAATACTTGGTTTATACCTTCACTTACTTAGGACTTATTCTCCCTTGACAAAGTTCTTTAATTTTCAGTTCTTCAAGTTTTCAATTTTCTTGATGAGACGCTTGGTTTTTAGAAAAATGACTATGCTTTTGGATTAAAAAGAAATTGGTAATGTTTACAGAATATCTAACTTTACTATCATTTTGGACCCACATTCCCCTTAAGACCTCTGAGATAGCAGTTTCCAAAGTAGCTAAGTAACAATTATTCAGTACTACAATTTCACATATGTGTATTGCAACTTTTAAATCTGATTAAATGACAGTGCTATTTAGAATCTGATTTATTTTTCTAGTTAAATATATTTAGATGATACCCTGTCACCACCCCTGAAGTTCATGATACATTTGTTAAATGAAGGGCTGAGGAGCTGAGCCGTTGAACTTGGGATTCAGTACTTGCCACTTTTCATAGAGCAAGAGATCCATTTAGTTTTAAGCAGTTTGTCTCCCCTCTGTATTGAAAACTTTTAGATCATTAAACACAAATGAATTTTAGACCTGGAGAGTTAAGGTTGTGGTTGTGTGATGCCAAAATAGTTAATTAACTAGTAGTTGATAGTTAATTTTAAGAATATCTGCCCAGTTATACAGTTACCTTGGCATAGTCTAAAAATTGGCCACATTTTTGTCTGAATTAACTATTACCTTCTTAGAATCTACCCTGAATTAGATTTAAACAAACCTCAAATAACCAAAACTTAATGCATGCATGTTCATTACTCTATTAAGATATTGTGGTAGTGTTGAGTATGTACAGAGTATGTACACTCACTATGAGTGGAGACTAAGTTTACCTTTTATTTTTTTTTAATTATTATTAGGTGCCCTAGCACATAATTAACACTTTCTCAATGCTTTTACCCAATTTTTACAATTATATGCCACTTTTGTGTGGCAGATGTCTTTGCTTTTTAGTTTTATTGTGATAACTTCCATGTATATTGCTGCTTTAGTCAGTTCAAGCTGTTCTAAGAATACCATGGGTTGCATGGCTTGAAGAACAAACATTTATTTCATGCAGATCTGGAGACTGGGAAGCTTGAGATCAGGGTTCCAGCATAGCCAGGCTCTGGTGAGGGCTCTCCTCCCAGTTTCCTTATATGGTAGGGGTGGAGGAGTTCCTGTTTCTCCATCCCCTTATAAGGACACCAATCCTGTCAGGAAGGCTCCACTTTTATCTCCTCATACAAACCTAATTACTTCCCAAAGTCCCCACCTCTAAATACCACCATATTGGGGATCAAAACTTCAACATTTGAATTTTAGAGGGACACATTCAGTCCATAACAGTCCCCTTCCGATCTAAAGTTCAGTATCACCTGGGAAGGAAACCTGAATCAAATCTGTGTTCAAATATAATATTGGTTCATTTGTTTTAATATTAGAGTATGTTTTGAATATAAAAATTTAATGATGTTGAAGCTAGATAATTTCCTAATGTCAAAAATGTATAGCAACAATTAGAAAGTTAGATCAATAGTAGCTGTAATAGTAATAATAATAATAATAGTAATAACAGCTAACACAAGTGTTGACTCTATACCAGCCATATGTAATCCTCACAAACGTACTCTGAGGTGGGTAATATTCTTATCCTCAATCTATAGAACTTTAGTAAAATGGTTTATTATTTTCATTTTATCTTAAGTTTCTAGTTGTATTGTCTGATTCAAACTTATTTGAAAAGAAAATCAACTAACAATGAAGTGTACATCTTCAATTTTCATTTTTTTTTTTTTTTTAATAGAAAAACAGTGTCCTTTACTGAGAACAGAAGGACATCAGTTTACCCAGGACAACAAAGATAAACTTGAAGTTTCAGGTAAGCATTATAATTATAATTCTTGGCAAAGAAGTATTTTGTGTGAAATTCTCACCATATGTGTATTAAATCACAAGTGACTCTTTGACATTGTAATCTAAGATGATAACATCAATATGACAGTTTAAAAATAAAGAAGATAAATGAAGTAGAAAAAAGTGTTAAGAGCAGAGTACTATATTAACTAAGAACAACTCAGCCTCTTAGAGGAAAAAAAAAGTTATTTAAAATTATAGAAGTTGTATCCATTGTAGAAATTTTGAAAAAAGAAAAAGAAATTTATGAGAAAGATCTTACTACCCAAAGATAGCCATGATTCCCATTTTGGTGTACCATTCCTCTTTCTTCCTCTGTCTTCCTTTCCCCTCCCTCCCTCTCTCACACACACATATATAATCATTAATATGTATATTGAAGTTGAAATCAAAGCATTTCCCACATCAATATATATTCTTCTAAGGCATGATTTTTTTAAAAACAAGCCTGCTTACCTTTCAGTTGAATTGTTGTGGTATTTTTTACTTAACTAATTTCTGTCTTTAGACATTAGAGATGTTACAATGAGCTGCTCTGATTATTTTCTTAGGATAATTGCTAGGTCAAAGAAAATTAATATTTGAGTCTTTTGAAACATATTTCATCCTCTTGTATACATACTAAAAGGAGAAAAATGAAATCAAGTAATTTTGGTGATCCCAAACAACAGGATTTTATTTGAAATAAATCATTCTATAGATAAGGACAACAACAACAACAACAAAAAGTCCTATTTACAGATATCAGTATCTCTGTGGTTTCCTAAATTTAACAAAATTACTGGATTAAATCATTTGTCACATTTTATAGGTTTTGACCTAGGAGAGCGCTTTTCTCTGAGACGTGCATTTTGTGAAGGTGATAAAACCTGTTTCAAATTGGGAAGTGCATTTCTTATTAGAGATACCATGTAAGTAAAATAATAATTTTTCTTTACATTTTAATAATACTATTTAAACTATTTTCTAAGGAAATTCCAACTAATTTGTTTAAAAATAAAAATTTTCTCAGTGGTATCATCCTTACTTGAATGCTGTGTTAAGTGGGCTATTTTTATATTTGTTGTTTTTAATAATCCCTGCAATCTGATCTTATTCTATGGTATAAATGCCATTCACTGATACAGATATGGGTGTAATCTTTGCAGAATAGAAATTAAGTTCATTTTGAAGAAGTATTATTTATGTTTAAAATAGATACAACCAAAGCAAGATTTTCAAATGTGAACTTTAAAACATAAGATGCAATGTAGAGGGGCGCCTGGGTGGCTCAGTGGGTTAAGCCTCTGCCTTCGGCTCAGGTCAGGATCCCAGGGTGCTGGGATCAAGCCCCGCATCGGGCTCTCTGCTCAGCAGGGAGTCTGCTTCCTCCTTTCTCTCTGCCTGCCTCTCTGCCTACTTGTGATCTCTCTCTCTGTCCAATAAATAAATAAAATCTTAAAAAAAAATGCAGTGTAGAGTTAGAGACAAAAGTCTGGTATTTATTGTAATCATTTCTACGTTTAGTATGCTTCATGATAAATTAAAACAAAAGAACATAGCCCTTAGGTATTCCTCTTCTATATTATGTGGAATACATAGTAATATAAGATGATAACGTGACTATAAAATGGTCGTGATACACACTGTATTTCAAAATTGAATTACCAAAGTTTCCCTTTGTTATCTTTACTGTTTCCCACTGATAATTCTGAGATTAAAAGAAAAAAAGTATCATGTGCCATTAAATACTGACAATTGGTCAGGAACTATACAGAGCAATAATACTTCCCCCATGGTCCATATCTGATTGGAGGATGGATACACAGTAATTCAGAAAGCTTGAGTCATCCTGAAGGTAGATAGAGCATATATCGTTATAATATTTAGTCTTTGAGTCTAAAAGGAACATTCCAATTTATAAATACACTGCAGTGAAAAAGCATTAAAACTCTGGTTTAGTCCCCAACACAGATGTTTTTGTGTGAAAACATATATGGATGTTTCCTCTTCTTGATGAGTAGCCTAATATTTAAGTTACCAGACAGGATTGCTGAAAATCTTCACATTTGAATCCTCAAAGGGAAACAGCATTAATCATCTTGTTGCCTATTCTCAGATGCTCTGTGTAAACTAACTCCCTTGCTCACCTTTTTTTTTGAGAAAACTTTCTTTTAAACCTTCTACTTTGTGATACTTTAGATGCATTTAGTTTAATGATGTACTTCCTTAAACGTAAACTGCAAATTAATTGGTAAGAAATAAGAATGTTAAGGGAGAGAGTCATCTGCTGTTGGGGGATAGAATGGGTGATCATCAGGTGGGGCATTTCAGCAGATAGGACTGTACAGGGCTGTGCTGCTGTGGGCAGTTTCTAGGCGGCTTCATAGGCAGGCATTAAACCCTCAGGGTATATAGCAGGTCTGTGTTTGGGAATTCATATCCAGTAAAGGAAGGCAATACGTATCTCATATGTATCATATAGAGAGAGATTTAGATTTTTTTAAACTAGTAGTAGATAATTTTAATTGAAGAATTTAAGAAAGGCAATACATTCTGTTCAAAAATTAAGGCGCATTTTATCTCCTGCCTTCTTTCTGACAATTTAAACTCCTGTAGTTCTGTCCAGGTGGCTAAAGGATTGGAGGGAAAACTTTAAAATTTACTGGAACTGAATATAAGAAGATTTAGCTAATTTTAGGTAGTTACACTGGAAATCTTGCTGTCGCATTTAGGCAATGCTGTTCCTCTTTGACTATGCATGATAATAGATATCAGCCAGTCTGACACTTAGTTTCCGACCTTAGCTCTGGGCTATCAATGGAAGTAAATTCCCTGGCTCTGCAGAGCAGAACCCCGGTACCTCTACTACAGGAAACTGGAGGGTATCTGGTTAAGCTGACTAGCCAGTGTCAAGTAGCTTGGCTCATCTCCATTTACATTTCACTCACTGAGCCAAGTATGCTAGGAGGCTTCTCTTGCATGATGCCATTTTGATTTTTCAATGAGAGTGGAGTAAAGTTGCAGCTATTTATGTGTTTGTAAATAAGCTGCCTTGCAGAATCAACATGGGAAAGGCAGATGCTATTTTATATGGAAAATGAGGATTCTTTCTGTGCCTGAGATGATTTTTATAGTTCTGTCATCTTCCAGCTGAGATTCATGAGGGGAGAGATTTAATGAGCATGTTGGTCAGATCCTTTTCGGCACCCTCAGTACCTTGAGCCTAGCTTAATAGGGGAATCCCAAGGGCGACTCTTGCAGGGAGCCTACAGATACACATTACTATACACTTAAAGGTGACACGGGCTCAAGGAACATCTGAGGGGCTTTGTATGTTTGGTTTTGTTTTAAATTTGTATCCATTTCTTCGGTAGCTCTTGGGATAGCAAACGAAAGTATTGGTTAAGAGATTCCGGGTGGCATGCTACCTAGTTTTTTGGAATTATCTTTTAGAGGAGATTTCCTTGTCTTCTTGTATCTCCAAGTATTCCTGGTTGTGCAAAAGAAATAATTCATTATTTACATATATGTTGAGAGCTGTATCCCAGATGATTATACTCTGATTATCTTTAAATTGTGTTTTGGCAATTACTCAGGCAAAGTGGTGAAATTTTGAGAGAAAATGTACACAAAACGTGCACATACTACGGAGCACCTTATTTTCTTGGTGTAGTGTAGTTTTTACCTTTTTTTAGTTGCTTCTGTAGAAACATGTTTTAAATAAAAATGTGTCAACGAAATACAAATGTCTTAGAAGTTGAATATTTTATGAGCCGATAAATATTGAATTCCCACATATTGTTGATTCTAAAGGGGCAAAACTCTGTTTTTTGACTGGCCAATGGGGAAATTATTTGATTTCAAATGTAGCAGGAAAGCAAAATTTCCTTATTTATTATTGAATTCAAGGATAGTAAAGAGCCTTATTCCTTAGGTTCTATAACTGAAGGCTAGTGGCTCTCCAAAATACTGTGTTGAGGATTTTGAGGCCATATTAAGTTCAGCAGATTAGAATGTTGTGACCTGTTAGCCAAAAGAGGGGAGATGGGAGAGCTTATACATGTTTCTAGTCTGTAGTCTCTCTGATTGAGGATGATTTCCTGTGGGCTGGTGTCTTTTGCAACTGAAACAGTTCCTAAGAATGAAGGGGAAATTACACTATGTGTGAAAAGATAATCAACACCAATTAACTTTAATAAGATTTTATGAGCTTGGATAGCATAGCTAGACACAGTGGTGTAATGGACAGATATGGTCCCCTTAGCTTTGTTGGCAAATAAATAAATCTCCAGTGAAGAGGAATCTTCTCTCTCTGTCCCTCTCTTTGATGAAATTGGTGGTTGCTTTCTGGAAGCAGGAGCTATTTAGTTTTACAGCTTTACACAGGAAAAAAAAAGAGCTATTAGAAGCTATTTTCATTTACATTTTATGGTTTTTTTTAAAAATATAATAACCCTCCACAAGTAAGAAATGCCAAATTATATATTTGTAAGATGGGTAGTGTTTCTGAGGAGTTGTTGAAGTTCTCTAAACCTTAACAGTTCCCTTGGAAATAATCCTAAATATGGGGAAAGCTGCTTTGTGTATTGTATCATGATCCATACCTTGTCTGTGCTAGTGTTGAAAGATTCATCTCATGCTCATGTCTTTTCTACATAGACCTTTACATTACCTCCAGATTTTTATCATTATAAATAATGCCACAACATGTAGGAAAGTTGTTTTTCTCTGTGTTTAGAATTATTTCTGTAAGATTGATTTTTCACAGTGGAATTACTAGTTCATTTTTAGACATCTTGATACATACTTCTAATTATGTTTCATCCTTGTTTTCCCCTTCTATTCTATATAATACCCAATATCTTCAGCAGCATTAGATGTTATCATTTAAAGATTTTGTCATTAAGTTTTGTGTTTTCAACTAAAGGCTTGTAGCAATTACAAATAAAAGCTGTAGCTTACTATATAAGTATGAGGGGTTCCTGAAATGTTTCTGTTCTGCTAAAGGGTGAATAAGAGGTGACATTCAGTAGTCACTGTAGTGAATCCAGGGTAGTATAGAGCTGCCTTCTTTTTTTTTTTTTTTAAGATTTTATTTATTTATTTGTCAGAGAGAGAGAGAGAGAGAGGCAGGCAGAGGGAGAAGCTGGCTCCCTGCTGAGTGAGGAGCCTGATGCAGGACTTGATTCCAGGACCCCAGGATCATGACCTAAGCCAAAGGCAGATGCTTCACCGACTGAGCCACCCAGGTGTCACTAGAACTCTCCCTTTTTATTCAACAAGCATTTAGTGAGCTCACTATGGACTGGGCCCTTTACGAGGCTCTGGGATTACAATAGTGAAAGAATGTGCATCTAGTCTTTCCTTCTGGAACCTGCTGGAGAGACACATGATGCAAGGAAAAACTGCACTTCTCTCTTGGGTTGACCGAAGAAACTGAAACATGTTGCCTTCTGTCATCAGGCATCGGCCATGGAACTCAGTGCCACCACCCCTTGTCTTAGAAAGGCTAAACTTCCTTTAGCATTCCACAGAGGGATGATTTTCAATCTTTCCCTCATAAGGGCTGGTTTTCTTTCTTTCTTTTTTTCTTTTCTTTCTTTTTTTTTTTTTTTAATATAACGTATTATTTGTTTCAAGGGCACAGGTCTGTGATTCATCAATCTTACACAATTCACAGGGAGCACATACCCTCCCCAGTGTCCACCACCCAGCCAGCCCATCCCTCCCACCCTATCCACTCCAGCAACCCTCAGGTTGTTTCCCAAGATTAAGAGTCTCTTATGGTTTATCTGCCTCTCAGTTTCGTCTTGTTTCACTTTCCCCTCCCTTCCCCTATGATCCTTTTATCTTGTTTCTCAAATTCCTCCTATCAGTGAGATCATATGATAGTTGCCTTTTTCTGATTGACTTTTTTCACTTAGCATAA